AACAAGCCAGCTGAGGGACTATAAAAGGAACAGAGAATGTCACCAGGAGGTTTATCATTGTGTTTTTAAATTTTATCCTGCCTCAGGCCATGTTTATCCAATGCAATTGGATATCCTGATCCAGATAAAACCTTATTCCTCCCAGGGCTCTCTTAAGTGAGAACAAAGCCCCTTCCGTCTCCATTGACAACCATTTTCATATGTTCTCACACCTTTCCAATACATTACAAAAGGATATTTTAAATAAGCCAGTGACCTCTTTACAAAAAGCAAGTGGGTAAAAGTTTGGAGCAGTGGCAAGCAGATGGTACAGTTCGTACAAATAGTTCTTTAAACTTCTTATTACAGCTCTATTATCTAGTAAGTTTTTACCTCCAGCCTACCTAAAATAGGCCCTGTGGATTTCCTACCAGTCAGGTGAAGTGGTTCCTCTGGAAATGTAAGCTCTGTGGTAAACCCAGTGATTTCAGATCTTACAAAGACAGTACATGCTACTTTAAGTTGAGCCCAGAAAGCATGAATGCCTTAAATCAATAGCTTCAGATTCTTTGGACCCACTGTAAGAGATGTATTTTACTAGCCAGGCATGTTGGTGCAAGCCTGTAGTCCCAGTTACTCAGGAGGCTGTGGGAGGACTGCTTGAGCCAGGGAGGTTGAGGCTGCAGTGAGCCATGTTTGCACCACTGCACTCCAGCCTGGGTGACGAAGCGAGATCCTGTCTCAAAAACAAGAAAGAGATGCATTTCACGTCACACCCAAGTCTACACTCCCACATGGCTGTGTAACTGAAGCCAGTTTCACAAAACTGTGCTGACTTTTGCTACACTTTATATAATTTTTTCCTTAAAAAAAACAACAAAAAAATGCTGGCCAGGCACGGTGGCTCACGCCTGTAATCCCAACACTTTGGGAGGCCAAGGCAGGCGAATCAGAAGGTCAGGAGTTCAAGATCAGCCTGGCCAACATGGTGAAATCCCATCTCTACTAAAAATACAAAAAAAAAAAAAAAAATAGCTGGGCACAAAGGCAGGCACCTGTAATCCCAGCTACTCAGGAGGCTGAGGCAGGAGAATCACTTGACCTGGGGAGGCAGAGGTTGCAGTAAGCTGAGATTGCACCACTGAACTCCGTCCTTGGCAACAGAGTGAGACTCTGTCTCAGAAAAAAAAAAAAGCTGCTGCAAGTTGAAGCTCACTATATTGAGTTTATATCCCACTAATGAATTGAGGTTCACAGTTTTCAAAAAATCCTGCTTTGTGTAATCCCACCTGCTCAGGTGGCTGAGGCAGGAGAATCACTTGAACCCAGGAGGTAGAGTTTGCAGTGACCAGAGATCGTGCCACTGAACTCCAGCCTGGGCAACAGAGCAAAACAGCAGCTAAAAAAAATACATATATATATATATATCCTGCTTTAAATTATATTTAGGAAAAACTACTAAAACTCCCCTTATTATTTATCTATTATCTAAAGCCTCTCACTAAAAGGATAAACATCACACATGATCAGAAATGCCTTGTTATGTTTTAGGGGTGAGAGAAATAATAACAGGTGAGAGGATAAAAAGTACACAGTACCAGATGGAAGTACCAGAAGGAAAATAACAAATAACAACTTTTAGAGAGATTGAGGAAATGGCCCCAACATCCTAAAAGTTATCTCATAACACCTTGTCCAATAAACAAGATCTAACAGTCTTTTCTCAGTTCTTTCCAGGCACTGTGACAGGCCAATGATGGGGGAGGCTGGAGAGAGAAGTAGCTGGACTTCTTGCTGCCTGCATATGCACCACCTCAGACAGACCTTGTATACGGGGCTGAATGAATGGCCGGGGCTGAGGCTGCCTCTCTGCTCTTGCTTCCAGGAGAGGGATGTTCGAGAGTCCAAGTGCTAAGCTCTTACACAGTGTGATGGAGAAAGGCCTGAGCTCTCCTCCCTGGCCTTTTCACAGGTGAGGGAAGAGATTCCTCCAGTGGAAAAGTAGGCTGGAGCACTGCGAAATTTCTCTGGCCATGCCCTGTTTACCCAGCTCTAAAATGGTGCGGATAAAAAGCAGAGTCAATAAGGGAAATGGTTTATATTCAAGGATCTGAATTTTATCATTGGTAAATTGTAATATATCTTACATCCTGGAAGGAATAAAACATTTATAAAGCACATTTTCCAGCTCTACCATTCTCCTTCCATTTCCTCTCCTGACAGGAAAGATGGGAGAGAGGGTGGAGAGAGAGAGAGAAAGTGAGAGAAAGTGAGAGAAGAAGAAAAAGGAGAAGGAGGGAGAGAAAGAGGATGAGGAAAGGACAAAAAAAGGAAGGAAGGGAGAAAAAGTACTAAGGCTAGAATCTAATCAGATCTCAATTTAGTTAAACTCAGAAAATGTTTTCTTCTTTTAAGTGTACATGGAGTCAAAAATGTTTGAAGTCCTAGCTGCTTTTTTTAAGGCAGAAAAATCGAGTAAAACTAATATACTTTGACTATCACATTAGGGATTAAAAAAGAAAAAATATATTAAAAAATAGTAAAACTAATGTAATTTATACTAAAGTGTAAAATGTCATTTTAATGCCTTTCTAGAAGTGATAAGGAGTAATCAGTGAAAGGTATGAAGACAACCAAACAATCAGATTTTGTCTAAAATAGGACCTGTGGACTTCCTACTATTTAAATAACTTTCATCAGTCATCCACCCTTTTGGCTTAGTTTCTTCCTCTTCTTTGAATCAATCCAAACATCCACAGGTCCCCATAGCTAACATTAGAGTTAATCATTTCTTTTCCCAAATGATTCTAATCACCCAGTTTGGGCTGGGTTAGGCAGACCAGTAAGCAGCCAGGATCACAGTAATTTGGCAAGGATGGTAGACAAAGACTACAAATATTATCTAGACAATTAAACATAAAGTGAATTCAACCTCTCTCCATTTAATTCCAAAGGTCTCCAAGCCTTCTATGAATGACATCTTGATGCTCTTGAAGACATCATTTCAACTGATTGTCGGCTCTGTTTCTGTTGCAGGCGTACACGTTAGCAGACTTTATTTCACCTCTAGGCAGGCAATGTTTTCAAGCCAATTATGATGAAAGTGCTTAACTTAAGATGAGTCTAAGATAAGTGTTTCTATTCATATCCTATTTTGATTTTTGATATGTAACTTAATGTTTTGTAGGTTATCAGCAGGACCCACTTTATTGAATTTTCATCTCCCATTAGGAATCCAAATTTATATAAGCTCACAGTTAGAATTTCCTGACATTAGAAACTTAAGGGACTTTATATATATATATATAAAATAAGTTCATTTAAAACTTCTATTCAGGGTCAAAGCCACAGAGCCCTTCTCAGAAGTCACAGAACTTGAAGCTACAGAACGCTCCTCAGAAAGGGGAACATTCTCAGTAGTAGAAATCAGCTTGATGATAAGGAAAATGTACAAGTTATATTCATGTCACCATAGAATCCAAATCATCAATGTGGCATTTGTCACCTCCCAGAACATCTTCCTAGTTTAGTTTTTCTCTGAGAATCGTCATGTCATGAATGTGCTACTAAGAGTCAGGAGAGCTGGACTTCAAAACATCAGCTTTGCCCCTGACTGGCTTTGTGACTTTGAACACACTTTGAACACACTTTGAACACATCAGTAAACCTCTCTTGATCCCTGTTTTCTCAATCCCACAAGAGCACACACATACAAAATCTCATCTGAAAAATGCTGGTACTTGATTAGATGATCTCTAAAACCAATTTCCATTTATAAAAACCTATTCTAAAACTAGGACTCATTTTAACCCTTAACAAAAATGTATAGGGCTAGAAATCCTCAAATTGTTGGAGTCCCCTAAGATGTAACAAATGCCTCTTGAATTTGAAACAGAGGTTCATGTTATACCAAAGTTTAGAACCTTCAAATCAGAGTCATTTATTCCTGCTTTTTTTCAGTCAGTCAATAAAACTTATTGGACATCTGCTACATACCAGGCACTGTCTTGAGCCTAAGTGAACATCAGAGAGGGGGCAACAGGTTTAAAAGCCAGCAGTTGTATAAAGAAGTGGGAGATGGAAGAGAGAGCAGAGAAGAAAGGACAAAGGAATATGTCAGCATATTTCTTCTGTTACCAAAACACCAGGGGTTTGGTCTAGGTCCCATTGCTCTCTGCACTGAAAGCCAATCACTGAGACAAGGAGTACTGCCAGGGAAGAAGACTTATTCCAGTCCTGCATCTGAGGTGATGGGACGTTGGTCTCAAATCTATCTCCTCAACCAACTGAAAGTAGGGGTTGGTACAGCAAGGGAGAAACATAACTGTGTGGAAAAATAGGAATTAGGGAGGAGTAAAGAAAAAGACTGGTCAACAGGAAGCTGGTGATCAGTTAGGCAATCATGTCCAGTGAGGGGTCTGGTGTCTCACTGTCTAGATGCAGTGACCTGGTGAGTTTCAGTTCCATAATACTATCTGGGGAGCTTGCTGGTTAGTTTCCTGAGAAAGGAACTCAGATAAGACAAATGTAACTTTCTCAAGTTTTAAGACTGGAAAGGTCAATTTTTATGTTTATCCAAAATAAACCATAAACATCAGTTCTATGAGACAACCGGGCCAGTTTCACTTCCAGCACAGAAGCCTCAATTTATTTTTTTGCCATAAATACCAATGAAGTTATAAGACACTAAGTGCTTAAAGGCAACTAGAAAAAGGTATGCTCTTTAAAAGTTGACTATTATTTAGCAGTTTTAGGTTAACAGCAAAATTAAATGGAAAGTAGAGATTTTCCATAGACCCTGCCTCCCACATGTGCTCAGCCTCCCCAACATCTTGCTTTGGGGTGGTACATTTGTTACCACTGATGAACCTACAGGGACATGTGTTTGTGTTTATTTTTCAATGGATGAAACTCATATATAACCATGATCATCAAAATACAAAATTGACGTTTAATCTTTAGGATGTTTGACTAATCTGTTTCTCCCATTCTAACCCAATCTCTTAATCTTTTTTTGTTGTTGTTGTTATAGCACAACTTATATATTTCAAATGGACAAAAAATTAGTATCATTTACAGTATCTTAAGATAAATTTCCTTTGAATGGGAGCTTCCTTTCCAGTACTTTGAGGTGTATAAGATGTATCTAGAAAATTTACTACTGTGGAAAATGAAGACTGCTTAAATCAAATGGGGGGGAAGGGGAAGGGCCTATTGTTTTTCTTTTTGATTAATTGCTGTAACACTGTCCTTTGGGTGGCTGAGGGAGTTTCATATTTTCTTTAGACATCATTAGGCGCCGAAGCTCTTGCAGGACAACTTTGATGCTATATGAATTCTGCCATTTTGCTAGCACTGATACGGCTCTTGGGTCCACCACTCCATTAGAACTATTTACTCCATTCATATTAATTTTTGTTACAAATCTTACAAAGGGGGGTGCTTCTGGGTATTTAGGTCCACATTCTATTTTAAGGCTGTATATTCGGTTTTCATAAATTGTTCTTGGAGGCCCAATTATCATCCCTGTCCATCTTGTAAGTGTCATGTCTTCGTCATCTTCCAGACTCCAGCTAACTGTGCCATCTCCTACTCCTTTCTGGCCTTCTTCAAGTTCTTCCAACAGTCGGAAATTGAGAGAGACTTTTACTCCCGAGCCAGTGGTGGCTGCCATCTTGCCTCGATGTTGCTTGAAGGCTGGCCCCTTCTTCACCGCCCTCCCCCCAGTCTCTTAATCTATAAGGAACCAGAGAGAAAAGAAATATGACCCAAGCTGTTTCTGAAAGTCTGGGGATAAACTGGTAGACTACAGAGGCTCACATCAGGAGAAGAAAAAATCCCTTCAGCTACTGGAGTCTGAGCTACTTTCAGGTACTCTTTCTTCCAACTTTTCCCCTTCCTAACCCACTACTCCCAAAACACATATAGCCACACCAGACCAATCAAGTTCAACTTTTATGTAACAAAGCTGTGAGTTGTTTTTCAGTCACCATGGACCCCCAGGTTGAAGGTCATGTAACCTGAGCATGCCCAGATGAACCAAGCATGCAACTATGGGGAAATCCAAGTGCTCCAATAGAGGAGCAGGAACAGGGGCTGTATTAAGAAGTAGACACTGCATGGCAGGATCCAGGATCCAATCAGATTGAGTTCTGGCATCACCTCATTGCAAGATCCAATCAGATCACACCTCATTACCCTACGCTTATAAAACCTGACCCAGCCCCCAGCTCAGGAAGACATTTTTGAGCATTTCCTTCTGTCTCCTTGACAGTCAACTTACAATAGACTTTTCTCACTGCAAAAATCCAGTGCTTCAGTGTTTGGCTTTCCATTGTGCATGGGTATGTAAATCCAGTTTGGTGTGGTAATACACACACACACACACACACACACACACACACACACACACACACACACACAGTATCATCTAACTTGGAGAGCCTCTGTAAGATCTTTCTTTAACCAGGAGGTTGAGGACCATTTTCTAAGACTCCTTTTAGACCCTTGATAATCCTAATTTAGCCAGTACCCCAAGATGGGAACAAGTACTATAGGGACTTTCAGAGCTAGGAGGCAACACACCTCCCACAACAGGGTGTTGTAAATTCTCCAAAAGCATGCATTTTCAAACTACATATGACTTCCACCACCTAATCCACCAAGAATCAGATTCAGATACACCTCTGAAGTAACTATCACTCTCTTTCCTTTAGAATCACTTCCCTGGTAAGGCACAGAAGTTAAGTGGAAGTTGCTGAAATAAAATGACATGCTAAGACTCTCTGTTCTAGAAATCACTATCCACAATACAAATGTAGAAAATTAAAATAAAATTAAAATATCAACATTTCTCCATTCATCTTACTACATACGCTAACCAAAATACTTTAATTAAAAGCTAAGTCACCTGAACCTGGCCAACCATGGTGAACCTGGGCCTGTCCTAGGTGGACAACACTGTGGCTGCCAAGCACCCAGCACGAGCATGGCCTTTGGCCTGCAGATGTTCATTCAGAGGAAGTTTCCATATCCTTTGCAGTGGATCCTACTAGTGGCCGTGGTCTCAGGCTCTGTGCCAGCTATGGGGTAACAAGAGTGGAGTCGGAGAAATGCAACAACCTCTGGCCCTCCCTGGAGACCAGGCAGCTCCCCAAAGACGTGAGCACAGATCAGCAAAGCTAGGAGAGCTCTAGATAGGGCACAGAGGATTGGGGGCAGGAGGAGGAGTCCTGGAACACAGCCTTCATGACCCCCAATCCCAGTCTGATCCTCCCCACACCCTAGGGTGCCCCAACCATATCCTCTGTCCGCATGTGTGGCCAGGCCTAACAACCTGAGCCTGGTTGTCTGGCCTGCTGCTCCAACCTGGGACCTGCCCAGGAGGTTGGAGAAGAAAGGATTCTCCCTGGGGTGGTGGTTCTCCTCCAGGGTATTGGGACACATTATCTGCACTGCCAGCAGAGAGGGTGTGTCTGGGGAATAGGGTGGTAGGGGCTTGTGCACTTTGTCATTCCCTTTCTAACCCCTGGACCTCCAACAAGCCCAGGGTGACAGCTGGTGCTAGGAGTATGGAGTTAATAAATGGCTTATCTGCCAGGCACAGTGGTTTACACCTGTAATCCCAGCACTTTGGGAGGCCGAGGCAGGTGGATCACCTGAAGTCAAGAGTTCGAGACCACCCTGGTCAACATGGTGAAACCCTGTCTCTGCTAAAAATACAAAAATTAGCCAGGCATAGTGGCAGGTACCTGTAATCCCAGCTACTCGGGCGGCTGAGGCAGGAGAATCACTTGAACCCGGGAGGCAGTGGTTACAGTGAGCCGAGATGACACCACTGCACTCCAGCCTGGGTGACAGAGTGAGACTCTGTCTCAAAAAAAATAAAATAAAAATAAAAACAAACTAAGTCTATATATTAAGTTAAAACCACAGTTTTTAAACCCCATAATCAATACTTATGCTTTGACATGATGAATATGCATGACTTAGATCCTAAAACATAGTAGGAGATTGGCTTTGTATTAGTCCATTTTCACGCTGCTAAAAGAACTATCTGAAACTGGGTAATTTATGAAGAAAAAGAGGTTTAATTGACTCACACTTGTGCAGGCTTAACAGGAAGCATGACTGGGAAGCCTCAGGAAACTTACAATCATGGTGGAAGGCAAAGGGGAAGCAAGGACCTTCTTCACATGGTGGTAGAGGAGAGAGAGCAAGTGAAGGGGAGAATATCACACACTTTCAAACAATCAGATCTCATGAGAACTCACTCACTATCACAGGAACAGCAAGGGGGAAGTTTGCCCCCACAATTCAATCACCTCCCACCAGGCCCCTTCCCCAACATGTGAAGATTACAATTCGATATGAAATTTGGGTAAGGACATAGACCTAAAGCATGCCAGGCTCCCATTCAATGAGACAAAAAAATTAATATGAATTTGTATGAAGAGTAAAACGAACTCTTTGATAAATTCCATCTACATGCAAAAACTTTATTTATCAGAGATAATTCCAGCAAGGAATCCTATTTGAAGGTGTAACTGAGTTAAGAAAGAGGAAAACAAGGGCACAATAAATATGTGCAATCTTCATTCAAATGCTAGTTTGTAATTCCAGTTCTCCTCTTCATGCTCTGCCTGACTTTTTTCTCCACTAGGTGGATAGATAGGGGTACTAGAGATAGTAACTCTTGTTAGGATTTGAGCTCAGAAATCAGTACTGGATCTAAGGTAGGAAACTATGTTCTAGACCCAGATGGACTACAAGCTTTGTGACATTGATTAAGTTGTCATCCCTCTGGTCAAAGATCCTTATTTTAAAAAGGAAGTGCTGTACTATATGATCTCTAGGGTTCCTTCTACCCTTATAACCCCATTATCTGTGGTTTTGAGGTATAACCTATCCAGGTGGTACACCAACCCTCGGCTTTCAATATTAAGGAATCTTCTAGAGAATTACAAATAGTCAATAAATATTTAAGTATACCATCTGCTATAGTTTGGATATGCGATCCTCCAAATCTCCTGTTGAAATTTAATTCCTAATGTTGGAGGTGAGACCTAATGGGAGGCTGTTTGGATCATGGAAGCTGATACCTCATGAATCTCTTAGTGCCTTCCTCACATTAACGAGTGAGTTCTCTCCTTATTATTTCCCCTCAAGAGTTTCTCCTAGTGCTGGTTAAAAAGAGTCTAACATCTTCCCTCTCTCTTGCTTCCTCTCTTTCCCTGTAAGCTCTGCACACGCCAGCTCCCCTTCTCTTTCCACCACAAATGGAAGCAGCCTGAAGCCCTCACCAGAAACAGATACTGGCGGCATCCTTCTTGTTCAGTCTGAAGAACTGTGAGCCAAATAAACCTCTTCCATATATATATACACACACACACACACACACACACACACACACACTTTTTTGTTAGACAAGTCTGTCACCCAGGCTAGAATGCAGTGGCATGATCACAGCTCACTGCAGCCTCAACGTCCTGGGCTGAAGTGATCCTCCCACCTCAGATTCCCAAGTAGCTGAGACTATAGGCAGGCACCACCATGCCCAGCTAATAAAGCTCTCTTTTTTACTAAATTACCTAGTCTCAGGTATTCCTTAACAGCATCACATACAGACTAAGAAACCATCCTAAACAAAAAATTAGAGGCATGCTGTACCTGAAATTCTGACTCTGGTCATTTATCCCTTCTTAGTAGCAAGTAAATACTCTCTAGTCAATTTTGGATAATGAGTTTCTCAATCCTATCATTTCAGTTTCCTGGTTCACTGTCAGTCATTGTCTTGTGTATGTTAAAAGACAATTAGTGACTCTCTCTACATTATTTAATATTTTCCTGAAAGGTCTCTGCTGTGCTGATTGCAAAACATGTAAAGTCTTTTCTTTTCACTCATGCCCTTCTTTTCTCGTCTCTTTTCCTTGCTATGTTTGTCCTGCATTTGTACATCCCATGTATAGCATTAATCTTGCTGCTACTGCTGTCCCTCCATATGTTTTCTTCCAGGGGGCTTTCATGTAGTGCTCAAGACACTGTACTGACTTATCCCTAAGACATCACCTCTCTGCACTGCCTACCCATTCCCATCTCTCCCTATACACATATTTATCTCAGGTCCTCTTATTCTATAAGCAAAGATTTCAGACCACCTGCTCTTAATGTCATTGATCACTTCTTAATTTAGCTAGATATCAGAAATTGGAGCCTCTAAGGCTAAATTCAGTCCATAGACATGTTATGTCTGCCCCACATTATATTTTAACATCCACAAAAAGATCTAAATGTTTGTTCTTGCAGTCCTGGACCCAGGTTTACTGCAGCAATCAACTGGAGATGAGCACACCCTTCAGCTCACCACAATGCCCAGCCAAAGGCCAGGTGCCATTTATTCTCCCACTGGGCTGCTGCCTTCCCATAACTAACCCTACTTTACATTCTACTTGGTCCCTGGGGGCATTTCAAGTCACCACCTGAGGTCTCCATGATGAGAGAACTTCATATTTACCTAGGAAAATTATATGTGGTCTAGGCAGAGTAAGACTGGCTTTCTGGGCAAGTGTTACCAGAAAGACCATGAGGAAATTGGAACTCAGACTTTCCAGATCTTTTACTATTTGAATCATCTTCAGAGACAGAACCTACTCTTTATCTAGAATGTGGCTTACTGAGCTAGAAGTGACATCTCTTAAATACACAAACA